AAAAAAATATGAAAATTTTGGATTTATGTGAATAATATTTTATTTTAAAAATGGGTAATTGAAAATGAGTTTAAAAAAAATTTAAAAGAATGATTACCAAGACAGGGTTTTGGCTCCATTAAATTTAATTTTAGAGAAAAACATTTTTTGAAAAAATGATTTTTTGAAAAATATATAGCTAAAAAAGAAAAAAAAATTTAAGTATACGTGCTTGTTTGATAGAGATTTTGATAATTAATTTTTTGACTGTTAGAGATAAAGTGAGTCCTACCTATAAGAGATGAATAAAAAAATGACGATCGAAATAATGAAATAATGATCAAAAAATTGATTTTCATTGGATTAAAATCCTTTCCAAACAAACTCTATATATGATATTGAAGAATGTGTACTTGAAAAAAAAAATGAATTAAAATTTTAATGAAACTCAAACATAGGCCGAAACATTAGTACACTTCTATAAGTAATTGTGTAATATTTTCAATGAGGAGTTTTAGTGTGTTTTTTAGTTAATTTAGGGGTGTTTATGTAATTATCTCTTTGTATGAATCTCGTTCTTCAAAACTCATTTTAAAATCATACATTTTTTTATTAAAATAATATCAAATATAAATTTAATTTTTTTTTTAATTTTTAATCACACATTCTTCATTGTTCTATTATTTACAATGCATTATTTTCTCCAAAATGGAAATAAAACGAGGACTATATGCCCCCGTTTGGCTCCCATTTTTCGAAAATGAAAATAAGTAGAATAATTTTTTTTGAAAAATGAGTGGTTGAAAATAAAAAGAAAAATTTTCGATTTACGTGTAATATTATTTTATGGAAGATTGTATAATTGAAAATAGAAGAAATAAAATGAAATGTAATTTAAAGGGTGTTTGGTAGAAATTTTTATGTGAAAATGCATTTTTGAATAGTAAATTGATGGGAAAAATAAGAAAAAGTTTTTGATTTACGTGTAATATTATTTTAATAAAAAATGTGTGGTTGAAAAATAAGAAAAAGTTTTTGATTTACTTGTAATATTATTTTAATAAAAAATATGTGGTTGAAAAGAAGAGAGAGAAAAATACATTTTGATAAAAATGGGTGCCAAACAGGCCTTAATTAAAATTTAATTGGGCCAAACGGTGGTACATGTCTTGCTATAAATATACGTATTTCGCAGCTCTCCACACTCCCGTTTTACTGATTTTGCCCTTTTCACTTCCCAGTGCCGGCCATGGTTTCTCCGTGAGATCTTTCGCCGGAGGTGGATTTTCCTGGTCTCAGTTCATAATGAGTGCTGGTGCTCCATGATTTCTCTCCATTTCTCTGCGGCTCGTTCGAATCGTTTTTCACTGAGGCGAGAGTGTTCAAGTTTTTCTATATGTACTTTCTTTATACAATAAACTAGTATTCAGATGTTTAATTGATTTTTGGGCGTTTAATTTGAATGCATGTGTCTGCGCTTGTCTGTGACCTTTTTGACTCGGTCGTACCGAGTCGACTCGGGTAAGCAAAAGGAACGATCATCTTTTTCTACCGGACATTATACACTCTTTTTGACCTAACACGGTCCACTCTTCTTTTGGGATGAGTCGACTCAGAGCGAGTCGGGCAATGTCGGGAAGTAGTGCAGTCCCAATTTTTAGGATGTTTCTTCTTTCTGCCCCTTTTTTTTTCACGTTGTTTCTGAGAAAGATACTCAACAATCAAGAATCTTCCTTTCTTCTTCTTTTTCGTCATTTTTTTTTT